TATCGTGTAATAGCTAATAATTTATATGTGTTATTTAATATTTTTATATATCTGTATATGTATAATTCAAATTTTGGGTTGTTCTGTTTGTTTGACGTCTTTACCCAAGCCTGTCCAAATTTAATTTGAACTTCTGAATTTTTGCTTAAGTCTGTACCGAATTTGAAAGTATCTTGTCCAAATCTTAAAAAAATTCATGTTGGATTCAGGCTGCTCGGGTTGAGTTCGTTCAAGTTGCATCCCTAACAAATGGTGGGGGTGGTGAGGGAGGGAAAAAGATGAACGGGACATTATTTGTAGAAGATAGTGAAAGGGACAATAATATTTTTAAAAAATTATGAATTTAAAATTATTGCCCATTCATCTATTTTTGTGTAATTTTTGAAAAGTTGCACTTGTATTTATAGAAGGTCCGACTTTTCTCTAGTCTGATGTTGGGATTGGAGGATATTGTTAGACTTGTGGGGACTCACCATGAATTCCGTTTCGATAATCTAAATCGTTGAATGTGTAAAAATTGTTGAGTAATATATGCTTGTAAAAAATCACGTTTATCGGATATCAATAGTTGCATGCGTGATTAAATCAAATTTGTATAAAAAAATTATACGGTGAAAAAAAAAACGATTAACAAAAATCTGATCTAATGAAATAACTATCGATATCTAATCAACGTGATTTATTTACAAATATATAATACTTAACAAGTTCTGTATATTATATAGTTCAAATTGTCAAAATAAAACCGTGATAAACCTCTACAAACCTAACAGGACTCTTTAATTTAATATCAAAGTGAAGAAAAGTCAGTTCTTTTGTAGAATGTTACCGCAACAGCCACTAACATGTTTTTTTATTGTTTTATTTTTTAGGTACATGCCAATGAGATGAATTCAGCTAGTGGATCGGAGGTAAAACTATGGGCCCTTATGAATTCTGTGGTACCCCCAGGTTTTACTAGGGACATAGTGAGGTTATCATGGTGTAATCAAAACCACTTTCATATTTATTTTCAAAACCTGAAGCGTTAAAAAATTGAGACATCAAACTTTCTATTGAAAAAGCTATTCCATTCGTTTTAAAATATTAATTTTTTATTTTATTTTTTATTGTCTAAAAATATTAGTCTTTCTTCAAAAATTAAGTATAAAAATAATATAAATTTCATATTTTACTCTTTTTTTAAATTCATAAACAATATAATAAATACAATTATAACATTGATATTTCTCAAAAAATATACTATCAAAGGGTAATTTAGAAAAATTAATTTTTTAAAGTGCAATAATTAAATTATCAAACAAAGTTAAATTCCTTAAAATGAACCATTATTTTAAGACGGAAGAAGTACTAAACATTCGTATGGACGTAGGTTCTACATTTGTGCGTCCTATAATCATATAAGTGTTTGATAGATTTTTTTAGTAATTTTTTTTTATATCTCTAATATTTTTAATTTAAAATAATTACATATTTTTTTATCACACTTAGGTTCATAAAACAAATGAGCGGATTTTTTTTATGACACTTAGGCCCCGTTTGTTTGGAGAGTTAGAGGGAGGATTGAGATTGGTAGTGAGGTGAGACTCACTAATATTGTGTTTATTTTGAGAGATGGGGAGGGGATTGATAATGAGTTCCGGATTAGGATAGGCCTCCATGACTTGTATTAGAAAAATAGTTCGGCGGATTAGAAATTTTTTATTTTTATTTATTTTTTATTTTATTTTTTACTTGTCGGACATTTTTTTTTAACATTAATGTTTAATTTTTGTATTTTTTGTTAATTAAAAATCATTATTTTATTTATTTTATTTTTTTCTGAAATTTTTTTATTTTATTTTAATTTTTTTTACATGTTTGACATTTTTTTTTAAACATTAATGTTTAATATTTTTGTATTTTTTTTATTTGTTTTATTATTTTATACAAAAATAATTTAACAATTCCTACACTAACAATTATCATCAAAATAAACATAATTTTACTTATTCTTTTTACTATCAATTCTCTCACTATTAATCTTTTCTCTATTAATCTCTTTCATTTTATCTCTGAAAACAAACCGGCCTTACCTTCATAAAACAAATGAGGGGATTGGATTCTCCCCGCTTTAGAATATTCAACTGGAGATTCTGTGGTAACCCCTGATTTTACTTAGAGACACGATGAGGTTATCAAGTTGTTATCAAAACCACTTTCATATTTTTTTCCAAAACCTGAAGCATCAACAAAATGAGACATCAAGGGTGTGTTTGTAGAATAGTTTTTGGTATAAAAAGTAAGAAAATTTATTTGGTTTACCTTTTTTTTTTAAAAATAGTTTTGGAAAATTATTTTGGAGAGAAAGTTTTAAAAAAGTGATTGATTTGATGTGTATGAAAGAGAAAGTGATTTTGAAAAGTAGGTAACTAAACAAAATTTTAAAATTTTTTTTGAAAAAATTTGTTTGGTTTGAGTACTCTTAAAAATTTGTTTGTAGAAAAAATTTTTTAAATTTTTTTTCTGAAAAACAAACCAAACAAATTTTTTATTAAAAAATCTACTAAACATTGACATAGATGTAGGTCCTACATGTATAGGTCCTATAATCATGTAAGCGTTTGGTAGATTTTTTTTGTAATTTTTTTTTTTATCCCTAACATCTTTTAATTTAAAATAATTATATATATATATATATATATATATTTTGTGACACTTTAGATTTATAAAACAAATGAGGGGATTGGTTTCTCTTCAGTTTGGAATATTCAACTAAACGGTCCAATTTGGCTTATTATACATGTGTGTGTCAATTTCTGATCACACTGCTAAACAGGCACCTAGTTGGAGAGCACTGACAGAATAGATTAAGCCTGACCGACCTGCAACAGAAAGAAGAGTTTCTGGCGGTGGCTCGTCCACAATCAAGTTAGTACTCAATATCTCTTAAAAATAATCAATAGTGCTTAACTCACTAGACAGAATATCAAAAAACATAAAAGACATACCTTAGACCCATGAGGGTGCCTCTCTTTTATAGCCAAGATAATCCTAGTCCCAATAGAAGCCTAGCTCCAATAGATTTAGGATTACTGCTAATCTTGGACTCCCAGTAGGAATAGGATAAACTCTCTAAGAGTTTCGTCTTTATCCAAACTGAAATCTTCTCTCATCCTAGGACTCTTTTCCCTTATCCGCTTATCTCGGATTTCAACATATTCACAGATAACCTCAGCTTAGCCGAGATCATCTCAGCATCATGACCATGACAGGTGGCACCTCGGCTGGCACTTCGGTGACACATCGGCCACGTGATGTCATTCAAAAATTATGTCTCCACAATACCTTTATTTCGGATCCATCTTAATGATTTAAACTATTCATTTTGTAAAATATTTTTTGAAAAATATGTATATAAAAAATTAGATTGATCTAATTTTAAGAACCACTTGATCAAATTAAATTTTTTTAAAAATAATTAGCGAATTATTTTGAAAATTATGTTATCGATAATCATGGTGGATAAATAGATAGATATTTAAATAAATAGATAAAACACATGGATAGGTAAATAAATAATTAAGTAAATAGATAGATAGATTGACAAATAAAAATTATAATTTTCAGACGAAAAAAACATGCATAAATTTCAAAAGGATTGAACCAATTAAATTCCTAACCCAACCCAATCCGACCCGACTCTGGCGCCCATTACCTTTTTATTATAGCATAACCACGTCTCATTTTTTTTTTCTCCCATGAAATCAACGCATAAAACCATAGAAGTGGGACGGCCCATTAGACCGGACCGGACCGGACCGGACCGATCCACTCTTCTTCTTCGAACACACGTTAAGAGTATCTTTATTAAACTAATTAAAATTTTATTGTATTTTGATTTAAATTATTTATTTTTTCTATTTTAGCTATACATTTTTAAAAATATTGTCTAACAAACTCTTTATCCTTTTTCTATATTATTTTTATTGATTTTGATTTAAATTTTTTTTTTATAAACTCAACACAATTAATTTCAAAATATGAAAAGTAATAGTTTTCTAATGTTTGACTAAGTGAAATCACTCGCAACATTTGTTGAGCCAAAACCACAAAAACTAAAATGACTAACTTGATAACTACTTTCATAGAGGTGAAATTTAGTGATTTACTCACTATTTTAACTAAAAAGTAAAAATAACTAATTTGTTAGAGGAAAAATTACTTCATGCCCATATTGCATTGTCACAAATCAATCCAAGTCATTCATTTGGGTTGGTCTCAATGTCATAAATCAATTTAAGTCATTCATTTGTGTGGATTTCAATATCATAAATCAATTCAAGTCATTCATTTGTGTGGATCTAATATAAGCCCTACACAAACGAATGACTTGAATTAATTTATTGTATTACCATGTTAATGCCTTTGAATAGGGCTGCAAATGAACCGAGTTGTTCATGAACAGGCTCGGCTCGGCTCGTTAAGGGCTCAGCTTGGCTCGGCTCGTTTAGTAAACAAGCCGAGTTCGAGCTCAAAAAGACTTGGAGCTCAAATATTAGACTCGTTTAGTAAACGAGCCGAGCTCAAGCTCCCATAAGCTCGGCTCTCGTTTATCTTTATTTAAATTATATAATAAATATATTATTTATATATTAAATAATATATAAATATACATAAATACATTATTTATATGTTAAAAATATATAAATATATATATATATAAATAATAATATAAATACATTTTTTATATATTAAATAATATAAATAATATTTTTTTATTTAAATATTTATATTTAAATAATATAAATAATATTAAAAAAAATTTGTCGAACCGAGTTCGAGTTTCATTAAAATTAACGAGCCGAGCCGAGCCCGAGCCCAATTCTTTATCGAGCCGAGCTCGAGCTCAGCAAAACTCGGCTCAAATCGATTCGTTTGCGGCCCTACCTTTGAGACAATGAATAATTGCTCTTGATGGATATGCTCTAACACACTTTCATTCACAAGTCCACCACTCTCAACATTTCTCAGTATTTTCCGAGAAACAAACATACAAAAGCAACCAAAACTTGCCACATTGACCCGTGCCTCTCTAATTCTTTTATATCGCGGGTGCATGTTTATGATAGAATTGCCTAACAAAAGATTCAAATCCAATACATTCCAGTCTTGAAAATATTCAAAAACCCACATGCTTTGAAACTTGTGGAAAGTAATTCATTGGGTTTAAAATTTTTTACTAAAACAAAAAATAAATGAAAAAAAAAATTAAATTTTCAAAAAATTAAATTTAAAAAATTGAAACCAAGGTGGTACTTGGGGATTACCCTGCTGCAACCATCAACGAAACAAACATTTCTTTCAAGCATTCTATCAAACACCTCACAACCCATGTCCATTCTACCTCACTTCCCATACAAATCTATAAGGTCATATCAAACCCATATCCCATTTTCAAAATTCAAACGCTTGAGCTTCCATTCTTTATGAACACTGACAAAATCTTTTAAACATTCGAGTGTTCAAAACAAAGATTGTTGATGGCTGAGAAAATGGGTGTCTTGACCATCAGAGGGTTGGAAGATATGTTTGCACCTTTGTTGAAGAAGTGGATTGGAATGGTGAGATTAAAGAAAATACATGCCCAAATGGTCAAGTTCTCACTATCACAAAGCAGCTTCTTGATTACAAAAATGGTGGATATATGTGATCAGAATGGTGAAATAGAGTATGCAACTTTGCTCTTCAATCAGATGGTTGAGCCAAATGGTTTTTTGTACAATGCAATGATCAGAGCTTATACACATAGCCATTTATATACAACTACAATTTTTGTTTACAAGCAGATGTTGGGAAACCCACAAGCTAAAGACACCATTTTTCCTGATAAATTCACATACCCATTCCTGATTAAGTCCTGTGGAGGTCTTGTGTGTCTTGATCTGGGAAACCAAGTTCATGGGCATGCATGTAAATTTGGGCTGAAATCTAATACTATAACTGAGAATTCATTGTTGGACATGTATATAAGATGTGATCATTTGAGTGATGCACACAAGTTGTTTGATGAAATGAGTGAGAGAGATGTGATCTCATGGAACAGTCTCATCACTGCGCATATTAAATTGGGCCAGTTGAGAAGTGCAAGAGCAATATTCGAGGAAATGCCAGACAAGACGATCGTCTCGTGGACCGCAATGATTTCGGGGTACACCCGAATAGGGTGTAATGCCGAAGCGTTAGATGTTTTTAGGAGAATGCAAATGGAAGGACTTAAACCCGATTGGATCAGCTTGATTGCTGTTTTGCCGGCATGCGCGCAATTGGGAGCTCTTGAACTTGGAAAATGGATTCACTTCTATGCAGAGAAAAACGGGTTTTTGCAGAGGACTTGTATATGTAATGCTTTGATTGAAATGTATGCAAAATGTGGAAGCTTAAACGAAGCTTGCCAACTGTTTGATGCAATACCTGAAAGAGATGTGATTTCATGGAGTACAATGATTGGAGGATTGGCAAACCATGGCAAAGCTCGTGAAGCAATCAAGCTGTTTCAAGACATGCAGAGGGCAAAGATCGAACCAAATGAGATCACTTTTGTTGGCCTTTTATCAGCTTGTGCACATGCTGGTTTTTTGGATGAGGGATTAAAGCACTTTTATTCTATGAAGAAAGATTATGACATAGAGCCTGGGATTGAGCATTATGGTTGTTTGGTTGATCTCCTTGGTCGTACAGGGCGCATTGAACATGCACTCGAACTCATAAAGGACATGCCAATGAAGCCAGACTCAGCGATTTGGGGTTCTTTGTTGAGTTCGTGTAGAACTCACTGTAATCTTGAAATAGCCGTGGTAGCGATGGAGCGTCTTCTAGAGTTTGAACCAGACGACACCGGGAACTATGTCTTACTCTCCAATATTTACGCAAACCTTGGGAGATGGGATGGCGTGTCAAGGATGAGGAAACTCATAAGAAGTAAGAGCATGAAGAAAACACCAGGATGTAGTCTGATAGAAATCAACAATGTTGCGGTTGAATTTCTATCAGGGGATGATTCTAAACCATATTCACAAGATATCTATTGGACTCTAGAGCTGTTGGCTTTGCATCAGAGAAAATCGTGCAATTTGATTGAAATTGTACCTGAGGATGAAAGTGAAAATATGCTATAAAATCAAGAGAAATCTTGCACCTTTTGAGGTTTTTGTCTTCATACATGTCACGTCAAATTTGAGACAATTACCCCTATAAGGAGGGGAACCAGTACAAATCATAAACTGAAATCAAAACATGCATTCATGAAAGAAGGCTTTGTTGTTCCTTCTAGGCATTTGTATCCCCAACAATATCAGAAGATTAAACTCAATCCCGACATGCCAAACATGATTTTAGAGAGAGAGTACCTTCGGACTTTAATTCAACATAACAATTGAAATGTGTAACAAAATTGAAAAATTGCTTAAATTATCAAATACAGCAACCAAAGAGGAATCATTCAAGAACAGTGTTGGACTGTCGAATCTTGCAACGCTATAACTGACACAATATTAAATGACTTGAATATTTTACCAACCGAGTTTCTGTGCCATGGAGAGACCACATATTACAACTATTGCATAGATACTACAATCCATGAACACTGCACCCATTACGTTCTGCAACACCAAACCCGACTCCAAAGCCTTGCCTAGTTGTTCAGCGAAACCAAAACTATCGCCTATTGAAGGGACATTATTTGCTTCTTGTTCAATCCTTTCAAAAGGTCTTTGTTTACCTAAGAGAAGCCGTGCAAGCACAATCGATATATTGGTGAGTAAAACCAGATAAAGTGGCTTGAAAAACATGATGCTCTTGATAATGCGGCTTCCCAGTATGGGAAACCCGATATAAGACAGAACCACCAAGATGGCCGCTGCTAGGGAACAATAGATGCGAGTACTCTCTGAAGCTGCAATGGCGGAACTTATTTGTTTTGGGGTGAAAATTTTACCACGATGGTGAACCAGTGGTTCAAGTTTATGCTCCGCGTTAGAAGGGGGAATCAATGAATCTTCAACTGTTGGCAAGACCCGATACACTTGTACCTTGGCATCAACTTCCCAAGAAGGACCTCTTGAAGCTTCAGTGCCTGTCTCACACTTGCGCAAAAACGGCTGTCGTCTACTTCCACCATCGTTGGCAGACTCATACTGTGGCAACAAAGAACTGGAGGATTTATCTTCATCGTCTTCCACAATTTCATCTATAGCAAGAAGATCAACGAGCAACAAGTAACAAAATCATAAATGAGTGAAGCCGAGGATAAGAAATATGTAAAAAAAAACTAGGAAAAAAAGTATGAACCTCTACTTCTTAGCCTTCACAATATGAGGTGCGAAACCAACTCCAACAAACCTTTTATCTTTTAGTAAATAAACTATACACCAGGCAATCTAAAGACTAAACCCTACAGAATTTCAAAAAATCCAACCCGCATCAAAATATAGAAATTAATCTCTCCCACTACATCTCAGCTACAAACACTGAAATATCCAAAACATGGAGAATGTCTACGTAACACACATTTTTGTTTTGGAAAATTGCATGGGAACAACTCAAAGTAATTGCACTTTCAAGGAGGAGAAAGTGAGACATGTGTCCCATGCCACAGTTTAACCTTGCACCAGGCACAGGCTCACTTGCATTTCCATGAAAGTGCAATTATTTTGAATTGTTTCCATTTAAATGCACTTTTCCCTTTCTTTCTCCCTACTACGAGACTTCTCATTCAAATTAGAACCAACTGGCAATTAGTTAAGAAAACTTCCCCTGCAGCTCAAACTTTATCCAATACCCATATTTCTAAAATAAATTGTATAATAATTTAAACCAATAGAAATCTTCCTTCCAGTTACAGTACCCAGGTTTATATGAAAAATCCCCTACCAGACCCAGCGCATAATTTACCTTAAGTATGATATTTAGCATACAATACTCCGAAGAAGCTAAATTCAGTTACTAAAGAGGTTGGAAGCATTAAGCGAATTAACGTCAATAAAAAAATAGATTCTCCTGACAAGAAAATACAAATGCAAAAAGCTGAGTAACCCTTTACCCGTGCTGAACATCCGTTATTTGATTCTTCTCAAATGAAAATACAAATTTAACCAGACACTTGTCGATATGGTGCAGTATTGTTAGATTCTAAAGCTTTATAAAAAAAAATTTCTCTCTGGGACATTGCTTAGAAAAGAATGAAAAGAATTATTTGGCCTACCCATGAGTGAGGTAGAGGTCATGTATATATAATAGATTTATGACACAATTTAGAAAATGATATAAATAAATAAACAATACTAAATTAGTGATTGACATAATCACAGATTATATACATAATACTAAAAATAAAAAAATTCTACGCGCTCTAATTTCTATATTCAACACTAAGTGCTGTGTTTTTTAAGGCAACAAGGCATCCGGAGGTCTAAGCACGAGACAATGGCTTCGTCAAAGCAAGGGAAACACTAAGGATGTTTTGGGGGCAAAATCCTCTTTACCCCTTGTGATTTGACCCCAGAGCACCCTCTCTCACATCCCTCCACCACCACCCCTTCCACTTGAAGCAACAAATCCGCTGGGCACAAATAATATGAAGAACATGATAGTAACTAGAGATTAAAGGTTGTACTAGATCTACTGCTCTACTGATCAGGACATCACTGCAATCATAGCATAGGTTACTTGGTCAACTGGATGTTATCTCCAAGTAACACCAGATCCGTAGCCTGGTCACATTATGTGAACTTTGGAGACGACTCAATTATCTCACAACATGTTGGGTTCTTGTGGACAGGGTTCTCACAATTGGTTTTTTGTGGTATATATATTAAAATCTCAATATTTGTAAATTAAATTTTTTATATTGAGATTTTAATGCGTGTGTAGAAAATTTAATCAATTACTGGAGCTATTATGGTGGTTGACTATGCTGGTGGTGGGTTGATAGTGTTAACTGCGTACTTTTATCCCAAACCATGTGAGGGGTTTATGGCTATATTTCAATGACAGAAGCACAAGCAAAGTCACAAATGGGTAAATGGCTATATTCCAATGACAGACGCATAAGCCAAGTCACAAATGGGTAAACAAGTCATAAGGGGGTAAAGAAAATTTTGACCATATATTTTTTAGAAAATATATAATATAGATAAAACTCAATAATTCTAAGCAAATATGATGCATCCAACTTCCAAATAGGGAGTACTAAAGATCCAAAAAAAAAAACATGAAACAACCAATAAAATCCAACATTCCAAACACCAATATCCAACAAAAATATAAGACACCCAATAAACACTAACATTGAAAACATAAAAGGGAAAAATAATTGATTAATTACTCAAGAATTAATTTTGTTCCAAGTAGTTATCCAAATTCTGTACCCAGCAAAGGTCAAAGTGCAGAAAAAGTTTTTAACTTCACCAAAAAAATAAAATAAAAATATAAAGACGCAACTCCTAGCCATAAGCTAATAGCTAGTGTAAATGCAACATCATATGTTTATTAAGACTCGAGATAGATGACTGTGATCAAATTAAAATGAGTAAAAATAAATAAAACACCGCCTCAAGCACCTCGACATCTCCTCACTGAAGTTGCTTCAGGCATCTTGAGGTGCTTGCCTCACCTCACTTAGTCATGCTTCTCTAAACATTGGCTTGGTGCAATGCAACAGTAAAAGCTTTTTTGTCGGGGTGAAATGGTTGAGTCTAAAGCAACAATTTTGTGCAGTGATCAGCGTTGAATCCTAAACTTCGAACCAATCGCTTCTTTCTCAGTATGGAATTTTAAGGCTAGGAGTTGTTTGGCATCCCCTACTTTAGCACATCTTTTTATCTTATTTGGGTCACATCACCACTTATTTAGGTCACATCACCTCTTTACCCAATGAAGCACAGACACCTCTCTAGAGCCTGCATATAGAACGAGGATTGAACAACTTGAAATAGTGTCTTTGCTTTTAAACCAGTCTGGCCAGAAATTTAAAAGCCAAAACATGGGAGATGTTCAACATCAAATTGTATCTAAATATGTTTTCTCCACCATAGACCCCCTAATGACCATAATCACCATGAAAAACAAATTTTACTGAAGATTACTAGTATATACTATGCTTATGAGAGGACATCATTCTTTGTATCCAAGGGAGGAACCAAGGGAGGTTGGAGGGGCCATGGCCCCGCCTAAATTAAAATAAAAAAAAACCTTTTTAAGTATACATTATGTTATAATACACCAAATAGCCCGCCAAATATTTTTTTTATTATAGAACATGTGTCTAGAAAAGTAGATCAGGCATCTTGTGTACAGAAGTGCGGTGCCACTCATAAAAGTAAAAATGTCTTTCCATCATATGCACATTGAATAAATACTTTAGTTTTTTAATAAAATCAAAAAAAAAAAAAAAACTAATACAATAATTTCATATTTCAATTAAAGTACATGTGATAAATTTAAATTATGAGCTTAATTTTTGTGAACAAAAAAATATAGGAATTTGATTATGGTGCTATAATATAAATATTTTTATTCATGTTTATTATTATTTGAATTTTTTGAATGACAATTTTGACAAATCAATAAAAACTCAAGTACTTGATTTTCAATCAAAATATATAATTGCATTGATCATGAAGTCAATAAAAAAAAGAAATTTATTTGTGTTAACTTAATTCTTTAAAAATGATTTGATCCTCTATATAGAACTCCTGGTTTCGCCCATAACTAGATCAACAAATTCAGATAAAAGTATCATTTCAGTTCACTTCGCAATACTCAATTGTGAAATTAAGCTAACAATTTGTAAATTACACATGCATATGTGCGTATACATATATATATATATAATCCATAATCTATATGTATGTGTAGACTGGATTAACTTAATTCTTTCAAAAGGATTTGGTCCTCTAAATAAAATCCCTAGTTTTGTCCCTGTTTAGATCAACAAATTCAGATAAAAGTAACATCTCAGTTCACTTTACAAATATCCAATTGGGAAATTAAACCACCAATCTAAAAATTACACATGCATATGTTAAACACACACACATATATATATATAGTTTATATGTATGTATACATAGACTGGATTAAATCCTCAAATGTATGTATAAACTGGATTAACTTAATTCTTTAAAAATGATTTGGTCCTCTAAATAAAACTCCTAGTTTTTTCACCCCTATTTAGATCAACAAATTCAGATAAAAGTAACATCTCAGTTCCCTTTACAAATATCCAATTGGGAAATTAAACCAACAATCTAATAATTACACATGCATATGCTATACATATAATATATATATATATATATATATTATGTATGTATATATAGAGTGGATTAAATCCACAAATGTATGTATAAACTGGATTAACCTAATTCTTTAAAAATGATTTGGTCCTCTAAATAAAACACCTAGTTTCACTTCACCCCTATTTAGATCAACAAATTCAGATAAAAGTAACATCTCAGTTCACTTTACAAATACCCAATTGGGAAATTAACAAAACATATATATATATATATATACATCAAATCTACAATCATATAGATATATGTATAAAATGGATTAAATACAGAAATGAAAACAAATTAGAGGGGGAAAAAAAGTGGGAGTACCGAGGTGGTGATGAGAGAGATGGGAATCGTGATGGTGAGAAAGCGAGGGAGGACAAGAAGCTGTATGAGAATGGTGAGATTCAGGGGAAGTTGATGAAGAAGAAGAAGAAGGAAGGGTTTGGATTCGACCGGTGATGAGCGCCAAGCGGTCCGAGCCTCTGTCGGCGATGCGCCGTCGTCGTGCATCTCTGCTGCTCGTCGCCATTTCCAAAAATTCCAATTCGAGAGAGAGAGAAGGGTTTGGATTGAGAATGAGAATGAGAATGAGAATGAGAATGATGATGAGTTTGGTTTGGTTTGTGTATTCGAAGGTAACGACAATGGCGTCTATCCAATACCCAAATCGGGGTCTCCCCTGGATCGCTCCCGACTGCCTCTCTCTCCACCGCCTATTTTATATAAGAATGATTAGTTCAAAATTTTGTGAGTTCAAATGGCTTAAAATGACGTTGATTTGACAGATTTTGAATATAAAATAATATTGTTTTGACAAATTTGAGTTTGAGTCATTTAAACTATAAAATTTTGAGCTGCCAAATATTTTCTTTTATATAATTGGGTAAATCACAAATACATATCACATTTGTTTGAAATATAAATTATTGGGGCATTTTCCTAAATAAGTCAAAATATCAATTCAATTCTCAAACTAAGCCTAGTTTTGAAGGAATTCTCAAAATAGGCTAAAACGTGGTTCACAATCACGCTTTCAACGTGTGCACGCCTGTCTCGCGTGAAAATTAGGAAGTTTTAAAAGTGTGGTTACAAAAGGCGCTTTTGATTAAAAAAGTGCGGTTACAAAAGGCGCTTTTAATTAATTTTTTTTTCTTCTGAAATGGCTATTCTGAACCACGCTTTTATCGAAAAAAAAAATTTCTTCTGAAATCGCTTTTCTGAACCACGCTTTTATCCAACAAATTTGTCTTCTGAAATTAATGTTCTAAACCACGCTTTTATCCAAAAAAAAATTTCTTCTGAAATCGTGGTTATGAACCACGCTTTTAGCTTAAAATTTTTTTCTTCTGAAAGCGCGGTTCTGAACCACGCTTTTTGGCAAAAAAAAATTTTAGTTTCAGTTTAACTGAACTCTGAAAAAGAAATTTTTTTTTTTCGGTTTTTTTTTTTCTGTTGTCATTATTTTGGTGATAATGTATTTCAGAATAATTTTTTGGATTAAAATTGTTTTACTAAAACCGTTCTCATGCTAATTTTTTTTCTTTTCTTTTGTCTTTATTTTGGGTTAGAATGTGTAATTCAGCATTTTTTTTTGGCTTGACTAAAGTAAATTTATTTTGTTTTTTCTTGTGTTTGTTTTGGGTTAGAAAGTAATAATGTAATTCATAAATTTTTTAAGCTTTAGTAAAGCCGTTTTGATGTAAATTTTTTCACACATATATATATATAGTTTATATGTATGTATACATAGACTGGATTAAATCCTCAAATGTATGTATAAACTGGATTAACTTAATTCTTTAAAAATGATTTGGTCCTCTAAATAAAACACCTAGTTTCACTTCACCCCTATTTAGATCAACAAATTCAGATAAAAGTAACATCTCAGTTCACTTTACAAATACCCAATTGGGAAATTAACAAAACATATATATATATATATATACATCAAATCTACAATCATATAGATATATGTATAAAATGGATTAAATACAGAAATGAAAACAAATTAGAGGGGGAAAAAAAGTGGGAGTACCGAGGTGGTGATGAGAGAGATGGGAATCGTGATGGTGAGAAAGCGAGGGAGGACAAGAAGCTGTATGAGAATGGTGAGATTCAGGGGAAGTTGATGAAGAAGAAGAAGAAGGAAGGGTTTGGATTCGACCGGTGATGAGCGCCAAGCGGTCCGAGCCTCTGTCGGCGATGCGCCGTCGTCGTGCATCTCTGCTGCTCGTCTCCATTTCCAAAAATTCCAATTCGAGAGAGAGAGAAGGGTTTGGATTGAGAATGAGAATGAGAATGAGAATGATGATGATGAGTTTGGTTTGGTTTGTGTATTCGAAGGTAACGACAATGGCGTCTATCCAATACCCAAATCTGGGTCTCCCCTGGATCGCTCCCGACTGCCTCTCTCTCCACCGCCTATTTTATATAAGAATAATTAGTTCAAAATTTTGTGCGTTCAAATGGCTTAAAATGACGTCGATTTGATAGATTTTGAGTGTAAAACGATATTGTTTTGATAAATTTGAGTTTGAGTCATTTAAGCTATAAAATTTTGAGCTGCCAAATATTTTCTTTTATATAATTGGGTAAATCACAAATACATATCACATTTGTTTGAAATATAAATTATTGGGGCATTTTCCTAAATAAGTCAAAATACCAATTCAATTCTCAAACTAAACCTAGTTTTGAAGGAATTCTCAAAATAGGCTAAAACGTGGTTCACAATCACGCTTTCAACGTGTGCACGCCTGTCTCGCGTGAAAATTAGAAAGTCTTAAAAGTGTGGTTATAAAAGGCGCTTTTGATTAAGAAAGTGCGGTTACAAAAGGCGCTTTTAATTAATTATTTTTTCTTCTGAAATGGCTATTCTGAACCACGCTTTTATCCAAAAAAAATTTCTTCTGAAATCGCTTTTCTGAACCACGCTTTTATCCAACAAATTTGTCTTCTGAAATTAATGTTCTAAACCACGCTTTTATCCAAAAAAAAAATTTCTTCTGAAATCGCTTTTCTGAACCACGCTTTTATCCAACAAATTTGTCTTTTGAAATTAATGTTCTAAACCACGCTTTTATCCAAAAAAAAATTTCTTCTGAAATCGTGGTTATGAACCACGCTTTTAGCTTAAAATTTTTTTCTTCTGAAAGCGCGGTTCTGAACCACGTTTTTTGGCAAAAAAAATTTTTAGTTTCAGTTTAATTGAACTCTGAAGAAGAAATTTTTTTTTTTCGGTTTTTTTTTTTCTGTTGTCATTATTTTGGTGATAATGTATTTCAGAATAATTTTTTGGATTAAAATTGTTTTACTAAAACCGTTCTCATGCTAATTTTTTTTCTTTTCTTTTGTCTTTATTTTGGGTTAGAATGTGTAATTCAGCATTTTTTTTTTTGGCTTGACTAAAGTAAATTTATTTTGTTTTTTCTTGTGTTTGTTTTGGGTTAGAATGTAATAATGTAATTCATAAATTTTTTGAGCTTTAGTAAAGCCGTTTTGATGTAAATTTTTATTTTATTTTATTTTCTCTTTGTTTTGGGTTAGAAGGTGTTATTCAGTAATTTGTTTGGGCTTTAATAAAGCCGTTTTCATTTAAATATATATATATTTTTTCTTTTGTCTTTGTTTTGGGTTAGAAGGTGATAATGTAATTCATAAATTTCTTTTTGCTTTACTAAAACCGTTTTCATGTAAAAAATTTTATTTTTTTATTTTTTTCTCTTGTCTTTGTTTTGGGTTAGAATGTGTTATCCAGAAATTTGTTTTGGCTTTACTAAAGCCGTTTTCATTTAAATAATTTTTTTTTCTGTTGTCTTTGTTTTGAGTTAGAAGGTGATAATGTAATTCATAAAACCTTAAGGAAAAAACACATAAGTCTCCCACAAAAATACATAGGTAGTACAGACATAAGTCTCTGACAACAATACATTTTGGACACCATGAGCTGAACACACAATACATACATAAACATAACAGTTAAATAGACAAATATTAGCTAGACAATCTGACAAACTCATTACGGAAACACTTACTCTAACACAGACATTACATATTAATGCATGACCTAATATTGCCGAAGTGTAGACATTAACACCTGATTCGCGCTTGAATCTGTAGGTGGCTTAGAGTCTGAATAATCCGAAAGCTCAGCGTCAGAGACAAACTCAGGATCCTCCATGACACCCTTGATAGCCGCATCATTTGGTTATGTTCTGTTCTTCTAGGCATCCTTCTTAACTATGTATAGCTGCATATCGCGGGCTAACCTACGACGCATTTGAGAAATCTCACGTTGTAGTCTTTCACGTAGTCGATCAACATTATCAGGATCTTCCTTTTGGATCTCAACAGAACGTGCTTTTGGCACCTTCAATCGATTTTCCCAACATAATCTTTCCATTTGTACTCGCTCTATAAATAGTGCGGGCCATTTCAGAAGTCTAGCGTTTGCTAAACCATATCCTGTTTGATGATCTGATGGTTCCTTCACCAAACCACATGGATCTCGATAGTACTTGGGCATGACAAAATATCGCTTCCCAAACCTATCATGATAAGTACAAGAGGCATCTAACAAAGTAAATGGTGTTTCATCTTCAGCATCGCCACTTCCCCTTTCCCCTCCTCGTCGTGAACTGTCACCCCTTTGCAAGTTCCTACCACCTCTGCGATTCCCACTCCCTCCCATGAACCATATAGCCATGCTAATTTTTTAAAACAAACGAATGATAATTTCGTAGGGCGAAATGAGTTGTAAGGTTGTGTCTTCACCTTTAGTCGTTTATATAGTTGGTTATGAACAGCTTTAGAAAGATACCCCTGCATGACAATCCCACATATACGAACAAGGTATGAGTTGTCAGTAGAATAAAAAACAGAGAAAAGAAAATACTGTGTACCAAGTCACGTGACTTAACAATCCATCTGCATATACCGACAAAGTAAGGGCATGCTCACTGTAAGGTAAATAAGTTAATTCACTATTGGCATGTGACTTTCTGAATTGAGAATCACTGTAATAAAAATATTGAGCAAAAAATCGATAAAACCAAAGCCTGTGCACCAAGTCACATGACTTGACAGTCTATCTGCATATACCGACAAAATAAGGGCATGCTCACTGTAAGGTAAATCTGTGAATTCACTGTTGCCATGTGACTTTATGAATTGAGAATCCCACATATATCAATAAGAGATGAGTTGTCACTGTAATAAAAAAATCGAGCAAAAAATCGAGAAAACCAAAGCATGTGCACCTTGACAATCCATCTACATATACCGAGAAAATAAGGGCATGCTCACTGTAAGGTAAATCAGTGAATTCACTGTTGCCATGTGACTTTATGAATTGAGAATCCCACATCTATCAAATTGGTGTTGAGTTGTCACTGTAATAAAAAAATCGAGCAAAAAATTGAGAAAACCAAAGCATATGCACCAAGTCACATGACTTGACAATCCATCTGCATATACCGAGAAAATAAGGACATGCTCACTGTAAGGTAAATCAGTGAACTCACTATTGTCATGTGGCTTTCTGAATTGAGAATCCCACATATATTAATAAGAAAGGAGTTGTCACTGTAATAAAAAAATCGAGCAAAAAAACGAGAAAACCAAAGCATGTGCACTAAGTCACATGACTTGACAATCCATCTGCATATACGGACAAAATAATGGCATGCTCACTGTAAGGTAAATC